GCTTGTGTATTGGAGTAAAACAGATGCTTGACATTGGTTTTGCATTTGTCTTCTCAGAGGGATGTACAGTGTCATTGCTATATTAGCATTGTTATTATTATTATTAGAACTGTCATTTGTAGACAAATGCTGTAAATGCCAGAAGCACCTTTTCTTTTTTCAAAAGCTTGGTTTATTAAACTGTTAAATTTTATTTAAGAACGGTCAAATACTTTAACGTTATTGGAGGTACGTTGGCATAACGAAGAATCTTAAAGCACAAATCTGGATTTGGAAAAACCTTAGTGTTACTAATGAGTAATATTATTTACACAACATGCATTGTTTGTTTTTCTTTTCCGTGTAAAATTATATTATTATTATTAAGTTTACAAAAAAAACATTTTTATTAGTCAATGTGTTCTTGCTTGAAAAGAGCCAGCAAAAGTCTAAAGCCTATTAGTCTTTAAAATGTTTTTATTACTGTACATCAAATGTATATTTTTATTCATTAAAAAGTGAAATTCTGTTTTAAGATTGTAGAGTTTGCGMATTTCTAGAGGTTTGCATAATTTATTCACCCGATCCTCGCAGGCGGGTGGAGCTTAATCGTTTGTCTCTATATTAGTATTTTTGTAATGATCCGAGCACATTGCAAATATATATTTTAATTGTGAGTGGAACATTTTCAAAGAACTCCTGGAGCAATTAATAAGGTTGATGCTCACGTTTAAGCGTTTTTTTTAATCAAGTTTACATTTATACGGTGTGCGCCGGAGACCAAAACGCGCGCACCTCCCTTTCCACTGCATATCTGTGAGGTCACTAGCGCTAGCGGGTGTATACTCCTAAGCTATTAGCTTTTAATAAATATATGTGTACAGAAGGTTTAATCAGATACGTTGTGAACGATGTCYGGAAGCGCAGGAGAGTGGTGTTTGATGGAGAGTGACCCCGGGGTGTTTACAGAGCTCATAAAGGGTTTTGGTAAGCGTCTTGTTTGCTAACGTAGCTAGTCCATTCAATTCAACGTGGCTATGCGACAGCGCTARCTAGCTGATGTAGCTAATGCTAACTTGTGTGTTAGCTTTATGGATGCGCGTTTGCCTTCATAAAAATAAAAAACACACGCTATGAATCATCAGCTGCATTATAATGCTGTTTTCTTGTAAAAGTTACATTTTGCAACTGGTCAGAGGTTTATGGTTTAATTTTTAGCTAAATGGCTAGCATTACTCAGCGTTCAAACAACGGCGCGGGTAAACAAATGAACCCCGACAGTTTGTTGACAGGTCGTGTCCTAAATAGGTCTCAGGTCGTGTTTGTTAAGGGTCGGGACGTTTTATTTAAACAGCCACTGTGAATCTAAATTGCACTTTGGTGCTGTGTTTGTCTTTGTCAGGCTGCAGAGGRGCTCAGGTTGAGGAGATCTGGAGTATGGAGCCCGAGAACTTTGAGAACTTGAAGTATGCTCGCTTGTTTACCTGGTGGACTACATGCATGCATCATCTAAAGACGTGTTTAATTCACTGCATGTGTTTCTGTTTCAGACCAGTTCACGGGTTGATTTTTCTCTTCAAGTGGCAGCCGGGGGAAGAACCTGCAGGATCCATTGTCCAGGATTCAAGACTTGACCACATTTTCTTTGCTAAGCAGGTGACTGGTAGATCCTGTGACATTTCAGCTCATTAATGAACAAATCAAGATAAATGCTGTGCTCTATGATTTTGAAAAGAAGTCATTGCGGTCTTCCCACCTATGATGCTACTRTGTTTATATTTGATGCTGCAAAAATGATCCGAGCCACTTCTGGCCAGAGAGAGGCTTGTTTTACACCAGCTGCATYCTCAAAGKSGAACAGCCGGGTACTTTGTCACGTGACCAGCTTGTAAAYGGAGGCTGACATATTGGTTTGGGGGAAAATAGGATGACTTCCTCTGTGTGGAAAATAGGAAAAATGGTGAAAAGTTGCTGTAGGACATCACTTCTCACAAAAACATCCAGAGATTAAAAACAATAAATAAATAAATATATATATATATTTACGTGGTCATTGTCGCGGGCCATGGTGGGGTTGCTGGTGGGGCTCTCCCGGGTTTCCCCTATGGTTTGACCTGGGGGGTGGGTGTGCAGCTCTCCTTGCGTAGGTGTACCTGGGGGCCCGGTGCTTGGGGTTCCTCTTGAGGTCTTTGGCTCTGGCCTCCCCTTATGTCTGCCTCGTGCCTTGGGGGTCAGCTCTGGGACTCCCCCGCAGTTACTACTGTACATTCCTTTGGAGAAATCCTGTTTATGTATGCTTGCTCACAACCGCACGCAGACGGGTTCAGATCTGAGGGGTTCTGAATGATCACCAGGTATACAGTATATAGGTGGGTGTTTGTTTGTGTAAATGTATATATAAATATATATGCTTTTGTACGGAGCTTGCGAGGGGACATGGGAAATTTTTTTTCTTTTGCGTTCCATCGCAAAAGTAGTTTATCACTGTTGTGCCTGCTGGTTTATTAACAAACTCACGTTTACCATTAGCGAGTTAGCCTACTGCTTTAATTCAGCTTCAGAATGAATATATCGCACAGCCACACATGGAAGTACACTCACCGGCCACTTTATTAGGTACACCACGCTAGTAACGGGTTGGACCCCCTTTTGCCTTCAGAACTGCCTCAATTCTTCGTGGCATAGATT